CTTTGTGGGCATCTATCACATACTTATGCATATGATGCAACGATTTCTTCACATGAATGGCATATGAGACACCATAATCATGCTTGTAATTATATATCTTGTTCAACAATTATTTTAAATTCCTGATTTCACATGATATTTACAGATTTTTTCCTGAGAAAGCCACAGCACTTGCTTTTTCCATTCTCAATGAGCTTTTAGAGGTCAGTTATTATCCATTAAAATATGTAAACTCTAATATTTCTCTTAACATTTTCCAATTGAGAATTCCAAAATTAAAGTACTAAAAAAATATATGTCTATTTGTGAATGTAGGATTTAAGATCTAGACCATGTCCTTTAGTCCTTGCATCATTTTCCGGTGGTTCACAAGCTTGTATGTATAAGCTTCTTCAGGTAAATTTAATATCATTAAACTTAATTTAAACAATTTAAATATATTAAATTATTCATATCTGATCATTATACATATGTTACAGATTATCGAAGGAACATGTGAAGCACATCTCAATATGGTATTGAATGTTAAATCTGTATGTTTTTGTTTTTTAATATTAATGACATTTTCATTTTCTAAATATGTATATTTTTTTTATGAAGGATGATAGTCGATTAATCATGACATGTATCTCTGGTCAAATGTTTGACTCTGGTCCGGTCAACGTAACCGGTGATTTGGGTGCCCGATTTGCCCTTCATTCCTCCATTCTTGGATCATCAAAATTAGTATCTTTATTTGCAAAAGGTGTCACTTCTGGATTGGATGCTTTATTTCTCACAAGATTCGGGTCCCACAGATCTGAATACTGGCAAACATTATACTCCTCTGTTGTAAGTTTTTCAAATTATAACAATCTTTATCCCATTTTAGATATTTTTAATGTTCCTTTTTACAATTTGGTTTAAAAAATTAGGGTTTGGGCGCCCCATTTCTCATATTATGTTCAGAAAATGACGATCTTGCCCCTTATCCCGTTATCTGCTCTTTCGCTCAACGGGTACAAGGTTTAGGTGGACATGTGAGATTTGTTGGATGGAAAGATTCTCCTCATGTAGGTTAGTAGCTTATCAGCTACCAGCTAGCTTATCAGCTATCTGCAAAACATTTTAAATATTGAGTATTAATTTATTGTTTTAATATTTTTTTTTTGTTGACAGGTCACTATGAGCATAATCCGATACAATATAGGACAGCTGTCACCGAGTTTCTTGATGATTCGGTTTCAATATTCAACAAAAAGCTTCAAAAGCTTTTTGAAAGAAATGGAATGGAGGGAATGCATGACAAAATATGTGAATTAATTTGTGACCTTCAAAATGCGGCGGTTGACTCAAATCAAAGCCTTAGAAGGGTGGCAGTGGGACCCACTGACCATTTCTTTTTACCAAGTTCTTTGGAGTATCAAAGTAAAGAATCAGGATCTTTACAAGATGAACAAAAGGAAAGAAGAAATGGTAATGGTGGTGGTGTCCACGTGGCAAGTCCTCCATGTTTGAATCCTCATAGTGTTCTTGGTCGAGTGCTTTTTGATGCTTGTGTTCCTAAGAATATTGAAGGGTGGGATATTAAGTTTGATGGGAGGACATCATTTGGATCTGGTCGTAAGAGGTTGTCTTTAAATGGGTTGAAACGAATAAGGTCGAGATTGTAAAATGGTATACATGAGAGAGATTTGTATAATAATATATATATATATAATAATAATAGTAATATAACAATAAAAATGTATATATTGATTTTGCACGAAATGTATATAGGTAGGATGAATGTAGAGGGTATGGTATGTTTATGGAGATGTGTTTTGTAATAGATTTGTTTGTTTTGGTATATGAGAAGTATAAGACGTTAGAAACATGTTACGAAAATATAAATAATTATTAAGGAAAAGTGTTGTTTGATGGTTCGTATAACTAAAATCTTTATTAGGTTCAAGGGGAATACATGATACAAAACGGATTACTAAGATTGAAGAAAAAGAAAACTTACAATCTGGATTTATCTATCAAATTGAAAAGTTCTAAAGGCTTGAAATTCAAAATGAAAAAAAAAAATGGGAAACTTAAAAAAAAAAAAAAAAAAAAAGGGCAATGATCATGATTTTTCTAGAATGACTTACTCTATGTGTATCACTTTTTTTGGACGGTTCATGCAAGAAAGTACAAAGAAGTTATAATTATGTATGCTAGGTAAGTCTGTATTATCTGGGATAACTACTATTGCTAATGATGAAGACCGTGCTGGTTTTATTTTTGATGCTTATGGAACCGATGATATGATTTCCCTATGTATGGACCATAATGGTGAAAGAATAGAGGATTGGTTTGTTTCTGAGATAGAAGAAGATGGCGACGATTCATGTATTGATGGTGGAGAAAATGAATTGAAAATGTATAACCTTGGAGATGTGGATGTCGAACTTAATGGTCATCGTGAACATAACAAAGGGTGATGAGTTTTTTAGTAAATTATATGATGAAGAGGAGGAAGCAAATGATAACAACAAAGATGATGATGATGATGATGATGAGCGTGATGTGTTTGCCATGAATTAAGAACATTCTATTTTTGAGTCAACACCATGGAAGATACACTACTCAATACTTGGTATGAGATTTCAAGATCCAATTCAATTAAAATCTATGTTAAGTGACTATGTTGTTGCCAATGGGTACCAACTTTGCTTTGAGAAAAATGATAAGAAAAGATTGTTGGTTAAGTGTTGTAAAGGTGAGTGCACATTCTAATTGTGGACATCTTGGATGAGTGATAAAGAAAGCTTCCAAATCAAGTCTTTAAATCCAAATCACAACTCTACAAGGAACTACAAGTTAGGATCAATGGTCCCTTATGCTTGGATAGGGAGTCATTATACAAGATAAATCTCACTTAGACAAAAAATGAGTGTTATGAAGCTAAGATTAACAGTGACAAAGAAGTTTGGTATTTATGTAAGTATTGATCAATGTAGGAAAGCTCAGAAATATGCATTGCAACTAATAAATGATACCTTTGTTGAGCACTATGTAAAGTTGTGGTCATATGCAGAAGAGATTAGGAGATCAAATAAAGGGTCCACTGTGAAGCTTGATATAAACTATGTTCCAAATAAGAAGAACTACTTTAGAAAGTTCTATGGTTGCTTGGATGGATTAAAGAAGGGATGGAAGGAGGGGTGTAGGAAGATAACAGGTCTAAATAGTTGTTTCCTTAAAGTGTTGTTGGAAGGGATGTAAACAATGAAATTTATTCCATTGCATTAGCAATAGTTTGTGTGGAGAATAAGGAAAATTAGAAGTGATTTTTGGATCTAATATCTGATCAACAAAAATGTAATTTACTTCTTTGTACTATATTTCCCATACACCACCGGCATACATAATACATAGTCTAATTGAGGGTCTAATATCTAACATTTTAATACAGGATCTAATTGAGGCTATGAAAGAACTAATTCCATATGCAAAACACATGCAGTGTGTTAAACATATTAGCCAAAACTTGAAAAAAAAAGTTTAGTGGTACCCATTATGAAACCATATTCTAGAAGGCTTCTAAAGCATAACTAAAGAAGATTTTAAAGTTGCAGTGAAGGAGACTGAGGTTATAAACCCAAGTGCTCAAGACTTAAGCACTAAGCAATTGAGGCTGCAGGGGCCATAAGCATGAACAGCTCCGAAAGTGCTCAAGACTTAAGCACTAAGCAATTGAGGCTGCAGGGGTCATAAGCATGAACAGCTCCGAACAGCTCCGAACACCTCATTAATGATTGTTTTATGATAGATTTCGTGAAAAATATAAAGAAATCATTCATAAGTATTAAATATGTATCAAAACAACAAGGACTTATTTTGCAACAAAAAAAATTATATTAATGACTAACTGTGCAAAAACAATATTAAAGACTAAATGTATACAAAGTGAAAAATATATTACTCTGTTAAGTTATTTTTCTGCTTACGTGGAGTAATCGGTCATAATGACCGAATCTGTACAGTTAAATAAGTTAAGGGGACAAGGGCGGAATACAAGTATGAAACTAAAGGTGGCCAGATGAAAACTTCAAAACAAACATAAAGTAAATTCTTATTGGATCAATTATCATTAACTCGCACACAATGAGGGCTGTTAGGTATGCGCAACGCCCATAGGTGTTTTTAGGAGAAAAAAAAAAACGATGTTTTTATAATGTTATGGTGGTAACGGGAAGCAACAAGTAGATTTATAATGCGCAAAAACAGTAAAATGGACGATGTTTGTGCTGTCATAATGCGCAAAAATGCCTCGGTGGGTGTTACCCATACCTAACAGTCTTAGGGTTGTTTTCATCCAAAACAATTTACAATGGCTTAGGAAGACTTATATGTCTTTTAAGTAATCTCCTCAACAATAGATTGTTTTCATGTTAATATGTATAACATAATTAAATCAACTAACAATTTAAATAAAAAATAAAATAACTAATAACTAATAGATTTCATTGAACAACTAATCGCTAACAAAATAAAAAGATGTTAAAATAATAATATAACAAATTATCGGTTAACCAATATATTTTCAATACTAATAATAGTATACAAGTGAATGTTTTTTTGGTAGCCTTTTAGTATTGCAACTTTAGATTCATCTTAAATAATTAAAAATTAAAATGTTTTTGGAAAATAACAAATAATGATTAAAAGCCATATATAAACAAAATAAAAATAATTAAAAACAAATAAAATAAGAATTAATAAAATAAGGCAAGTATTTTTTTTTCAGTAAAGTCACAAGCAAAATATATGTAATTTTTGACATTTCATCTCAAAAGTATTTTGCAGAAGAGAGATTACTCTTTTTCACGATCGCATCTATAGCATTGGTTTTAGAAACAAATTAAAAGATGGATTATTTCATGTCCGTCGCACTAGTCAAAGAAAAAGCTAACGAAATATTTTTTCTTCCTTATTTTTTCTGCGTTTTGAACAAAAGAAGATAATAAAGATGGTGAAGAGGACCGTCGATGATTGATGAGACTTCGAGAAGAACTGGTTTACTGGGTAGTCTGGTGGTGAGCTGCCGTAGAGTGGTATGTCGGTATCTTTTTAGGGTTTTTGTAATTTTTTTTTTAAGATTAAGTTATCATGTTTCAAAATAGATATCTATATTGGTTTTTGGGATATATATATATATATATATATATATATATATATATATATATATATATATATATATATATATATATATATATATATATATATATATATATATATTACAAACTCAATATTTCAATTTTTCACAGATTAAACCGGGTACTATATTAATGTTAAAAAGCCAAAAAATCGGAGGGGTCATGACCCCTTCTTGCCCCAATAGAATTCCACCAATGGAAGAAGCCAAAAAAAAAACTTAGTGACTATATATCTGCAAATCAAATAATATATAACGGTTTTAAATCATTATTCCATTCTAAAACCATGGAGACCAACCACATCAATTTTCTAAAACTTGGACTAAACTTGCAAATATATTCTAACCAAAAGGAGCAAAAGTGTAATTCACTCTAAAAAAACATTCATTTGTGAACAGTTTTGAAGGGATTATCCTCGTTCAAAATTTGGCTCCAAAATCAACGCTTCATCTCCCAAGACAGTGTGCGTAAAATGCTCTGAAAGCACCAAAACCCCATCACTTCTCACCTTTTGAAAACCCTTCAACAAATTTCCATTTTCATTCCCTTCCTTCTTTTTCAAATCGAACGTTAAAGTTTTCTTCCTATCTATCCACCTCTTTCACCTCCTTCTCCTTCACATCAAATTCATTTCCGCCTGTTTTTGTTGTGCTTCAAGAACAAGTTAATGGCGATTGCTCCCCAGTCTAAACCCACTAACACAAGCCCTCTGACTTCATCCAAGGTATATCTCTCTCAAAAAATTGTAACCTGTTTTGTTGTGCTTCAAGTGCTTATGTTTGTAATGGAAACAGAGAAAGACAATGGGGATTAAGAAAAAGGTTTTACAGAAAAAGGCTAAGCAAAAGGTGAAGACTGTGAGACCCTTTTATTTTTCTATCTTTATCTTCTGTCTGTCAGTCATTTCAGCGAACACCCTTCGTGCATTCTGAAAACTGGGGTTGAAATTTGAAATCCGTCTCCCTCGTGAATAGTTTCCTGATTGATTAGGGTTGAAATTTGAAATCCGTCTCCCTCGTGAATAGTTTCCTGATTGATTACTTCTCTTTGCAGGTGAGTTTCGATCTTCAACAGAACCTATCAGTAAGGTTAGTTCATATTCCACAAATACTCTTCAATTAAGTTAACTCATTCAGCTACTATTTCTCACTATACATTCGATCCATTCTGCAAACACAAAAAGCTATGACCCGAAATCAGCCCATTTGACCCAACCTCCTAATTCTCAATCCAAATCCGCTGCTATGGAGCGAGCTAAAGAAGTCCAAGCAAGCCTCCCATCTGAGTTTCCTAGTTTTGTTAAGCCGATGCTTCCATCACATGTTACTGGTGGCTTTTGGCTTGTAAGTGATCAAAACACAGTCGTTTTCTAGCTGTGTGTATCTTATTTCGACTACACATTGACACAAGAACACAAAATTGAAACTCCCTTTCTTTTTTCCAGGGTTTTCCGAAGAAATTCTGTGATGTCCATATGCCAAAACATGATGAAACAGTTGTGTTGGTAGATGAAGATGATCAAGAATTCAACACAAAGTATCTTGTTGACAAGTTTGGATTGAGTGCTGGATGGAGAGGATTCTCCATTGCTCATAAATTGCTTGAAGGAGATGCTCTTATTTTCCAGATGATTAAAAATTGGAAATTTAAGGTATACAATTACAATGATCAAGTGAATGCAATAACTTTCTTTATCTAAAGCTTTTAATTTATCAAATTCATCTGTTTTAGGTCTATATTGCAAGGGTAAATGGTCTAAATGAAATCGATGGAGCTCTTGGCCTTCTAAATTTAGTTCCTTATGGCATGAATTTATGTAAGTTTCTTTCTCTACACATTTTCTTAAGTCAACCATGGTCAAAGCTTATCTTTTCTTTTTTCTTAATAAAGCTCAAATTGAAAGAGAAAGAGATGAAGAAGATATGGATCAAGACAAAAGTTTGGTGGTGTTTAACCAATCAGAAGCCACTGAAGGGTTAAGATTCTCACAATCTGTTGTTGAATTCAAGAACATTAAAAGCATAAAAGATTTCAATATTGTGGTGGATGATTTAGTCATAGATTCTGAAATACCAAAGCATTTTCAAATCAAATACTATGATTTATGTTGTAGTCAAAACATGTATCTTCATGAAAACTTACTAAAAGGTCTGAATGTGAAACTAGCAGTTGGAATAATTCTTGAAACTGTTACTGTTTCTGATGCTATTAAAGCGTGTAAAGTGACTACTACACGTGATGATTTTGAAACATGGGATAAAACTTTGAAGGCATTTGAAGAAGTGGGTATGAAAGTTGGGTTTTTGAGAGGGCGAATTGGGAAACTTTTGGGGTTATTGTTTGAATCAAGTGAGGTTTTGGAAGTGAAGAGGAATGAACAAGTGAAAGCTAAAGAGGAATTAAGGGTTTTTAATGATAAGCTTTTGAGGGTGAAAGAAGTGATCAAGAATCTTGATTTTGAGATTGAAAGTTTGAAGATGAAAGGTGAGAAGCTTGAATTGGTGTTTTGTAAAGAGGCTAATGCACCTTGGTGATGTTTTTAGGGTATGAGCTTTTGTCATGTTTTTGAAGAAAAGGCAATGTGTTTTTGTATTATGTAGGTCATTTGTATATTACAAAAACATCATTTTCAACCGTGACTCTCTTTATTAGAATTCATTCTTTTGCTAAATGAAGCCAAACAACCTATAGAAATGAGAGGAAGTGGGAATCTTATTTTTGGAAAGCTATTTTATATATGTCAAGATTTATGGATATTTTGTGACGAAAACAAAAGTTAGAAGAATACCTATTATGGTATTACCTAGTCTCGACAAAACACATATTTGTGGACATTTGCAAGGACCTTGCGCAAAGAGTCTTAGGCCTTTCGCAAAATATCCATGTTTTGCGGTTACTATAAAAAGTTGGTTTATATTCCCACTAAGTAATTCAACTCGATCCAACTTGAATAATCTTATAAACATTATTATCTAAATCTAATGAAATTGTATAACAATTAAGAACGGAGAAAGAAAGCCTAAAATTCAATTAAGAACGGAGAACACTCAATTAACAAAACTATTTGCTCTCTGCATTAGTCGATTCAAAATTATATATATATATATATATATATATATATATATATATATATATATATATATATATAAAAGACAATTTCATAAATTGTCACAAGAAGTCTAAAGTGTTGGTAATTTTAGTATCACCATGTCATTTTATGTAACTGGAATTAGCATGTGAGCTGAGAGGCTTCTTAATTTGTTTTCTAATATGTGTACGAGTTGGTGCGAAGTGCACGCATGTATAAGACCAAATTAGTAGCCGGTTCGACGACTAATCGGGGATTCGGGGGCAGCGCCCTTGGGTTTGGGGTTTCCAAAGGGGCAGCGCCTCTAGCGGGGTCCAAGGGGTAAAGCCCCTGGCTGGGGTCCCGCGGGGTTTGGGGCAGCGTCCTAAAACCTCTCCGAATTTTTACATATGGGTACATAGTGGGTTATTCCGATTGTTGAGGGTGATTATGGTAAAACTAACGAAGCTCGTTAGTTTTGGTAACCCTAAATCCTCATTAAAATTCGGATTACCCTGACTTGTTTCCAAAGGAACCCATAACAGGCCAACCCTAATATCGTTTATTATATAAACGACTCTTCTTTTCAGAACTGAGATACGATCTTAAGCTCTCGTTTTTCGTCATACTTTCACAAAATCCTTTAGCATATTGGCTTACAATTTCTGTACCTAGAATCGTAAGTGTCCAATTGGATTATCCTAGGCTGAATTTCTTGTAACCCAGGCATAGGGTAGAAATATCAGTTCGGAAAGTGATATCACGATCCAAGTTGGTATACATATCTCCACTACAAACCCTAAACTTCCCTACAATCGAACTAAAATTCTCTGTTCTGGGGATGGGTGACTTAATCTGTGAGATGACTACCAAGTTTGCCAAACTGGAGAAGTTCGAAGGTGTCGACTTCATGCGTTAGAAGAAGAAGATGCACTTCATGCTGACTACTCTGAAAGCAGCATACGTGCTGACTACTCCAAGAGCAGCGGATCCAGATGAAAGTGTTGTAAAAACTATTGAAGATGTAAGAAGGAGATAGAAGTGGGACAACGATGATTACATTTGCAAAGGTCACATTCTGAATGGTATGTATGATGCTTTATTTGATATCCATTGTGAAGCCTTGTGTGCTAAGGAGTTGTGGGACACCCTTGAGTTGAAGTATATCACCGAGGATGCTTCTAGCAAGAAGTTTCTAGTAAGTGACTTTAACAATTATAAGATGGACGAATCAAGGTCTGTTACTGAACAATTCAATGAACTCCTTGGCATATACGATCAGTTTAAACTGCACCGTATGAATATGGATGAATCCATTGATGTGTCAACCATCATTGACAAACTGCCACCATCCTGGAAAGACATCAAACACAACTTGAAACATCAAAAGGAGGAAATGTCATTGGTTCAACTTGCTAGTCACATTCGTATTGAAGAATCTCTTCGTGCAAAGGAAAGTGACAAATCTGAAAAACCCAAAGGAAAAGTTGAACCTGGACAGCCCTCGGTTCACATGGTTGAAAACAAACCAAGGAACCAGAACCACAAGGGACATGGAAAACGTAAGCAGGAACATGTGCCAAAAAACTCCAACAAAAATAGAAAGGATCTAGTTTGTTAGAGGTGCAATCAAGTTGGGCATTGCAAGCGTGATTGTCGTGTGAATTTGGGCAACAATGGTGCTGGAAACAGTAGAGCCAATGGGAAATTGAACGGGTCTTCGGCATGAGTTAAAGTAGGTCAGTTTTTGACTGACTTTGATAATTCAAATCAAAATTATGTTTATTATGTTTCATTTATCCCTGAATCATTCTATGTGTAGGATGATGATGTTGCTTGGTGGATCGAGTCCGGAGTAACAAACCATGTATGCAATGATAAACGGACGTTTGAAACATTAACTCTGCTTGAAGATGGGTCGGTGCTGAAAATGGGAGACGATTATTTTATTCCTATTTGTGGTTTAGGTGTTGTGTGTCTTGAATTTACTTCTGGAAAGACAATTAAGTTATTTGATGTTTTGATTGTTCCCAAGATTCGCAAGAATCTTGTTAGTTCTAGTTGTTTGAATTAAACTGGTTTTAAACAAGTTATTGAGTCGGATACGTTTGTTTTGTCTAAGGGTGAAATGTTTATTGGCTTTGGATATTTAAATAATAGAATGTTTCGTTTAAAATTTGTTGACAAATTATTACATGTTCAAAATTTTGCATTTGTATCTTCTGCTTCTAATGTTGATAAATCTATGCTTTGGCATGTGTGACATCCCCATTTTCACGGCCAGAAAAGACCGATTTGTTTATGCTTTGTTTTATAAAATCAGAGTAATCTTTTAAAGAAAACGGTTGCGGAATTTGTTCCCAAAACAAGATATGATAATAACTTATCAAAACATTTCTCAAAGAGAATGTATTTTCATTTAATAATAAAACCTCGGGATGTCATGTTCCGATACAAACATATAAGCATAAACAGAACTTATATTCAATTACACTAAAGATTTACATCTCCTTTAATCTCTCAGTGCAAAGCAACTTCGTATCGATACCTGTGATACGATTAAACTGAGTGGGTCAGGCTTGGGAGCCTGGTGAGCATATAGGGTTTTCAACCCACAATAATATAATTATTATATTCAATCATCAAACAATCAACCCAATTACCCATCCCCATTATCTTCTTTTAATCTCCCCTAAAGATATTATCCTAAGGGTCATCTCCTATATCATATTTACCGCTCATCTCCTTACATCTTATATCCTTATATGCTTGTTCCTAAGAACAATGTATAAACACATAGCATGTATTTCATAGCAAATACTTCATATCTATGTGTAAGATGAAAGTGACTATACACTCACACATATAAACAACTTTATATTATACACATAACACGTATTTCGTATAAAATACTTCATAATTATGCGTTAGAAGAAAGTAACTACACACTAACTTGATCAGAAGATGATCGGACATCACTACAGCTTGTAGAAGTAGTATTATTCGGTAGATCTGGAAGATCTTCACAAAAACCGGACTTCTCGCGGACAGAGCTTCGGCTCGGGAATTGCACTTCTCGGGATCTTCGGGGCTTGGGAATGATACCGGTGCTTCGGGATAATTCTTGCACAAAAAACGATGCAAAAACGCGAGAGAAAGGGAAGAAATGAGCAAAGAACTCGGCTGCCCTCGACACCCTTTTATAGGGGGCTAGAAACCCAGATTACGCTGGGCGTAACGTGGATCAGATCGCTGACTCCCCCTATGGATAATATCGGTTAATTTATAATTAAATTAAATATCGGAAATATTTAATAAACTTCAAAAATTCATATCTCCCTCATACGAACTCCGTTTTCGACGTTCTTTATATCCCCGCGTAGGTGAGACTATGCTCTACAACTTTCGTTTAGACTCTGTCAGCTAATTTTGAATTTATTTTTATTATTTATTTTTAATAGTCCGCGACAGGAAAACTCCGTTATAAAATTATAACTTCTTCATACGACGTCCGTTTTCGCCTATATTTTTATCGTTTTACTAAAATTAATGAGATCTTCGATTCTCATTTAGATTGTTTCGACTAAAAACCGCTCGGTCTCAAATCGAGTATTCGGGCTGCATACCTCTAAGTCGAAACTTCGAAAAATCATAACTTCCTCATACGAAGTCAGATTTGGGCGTTCTTTTTATGCATGCTCACGGTTTAACGTATTCTACGACTTTCATTTAGATTTCTAAGGCTAAATATCACTCTAACGTAAATTCACTTTTTACGTCGCGCTGTGTCGTGTCGGTTCTGTCGCGAAACTTCGACAGGTCATAACTTCTTCGTTATAACTCGGATTTAGGCGTTCTTTATATGTACGGAATCCTTGTAACATATAATACAACTTAGTTAAGATTAGTCATTCTAAATAATCTTTCATCAAAAATTCATTTTTGATGCCTATCGTCTCTAAATTGACTATCGCTGATCTACGGGCATTACAACATGTAATATTAGGTCATGTCAACTTTAGAAGGATGCATGAGATGTCAAAAGATGGATTAATTCCATTTTGAAAATAACAATGTGGGTATCTTGGGGTATACTTTTTTGCCATGATTGATCGTACACATCTCATCCTTTTTTGGTTACCCTTGAAAACCATTTTGAAAACAACTTAAAAAAAACTATTTTGAAAAGTATTTTGAATATTATTTTGAAAACTTTTACAAGTCCGTAGTTTGAGTCTGGATTCACATGAATGCTCATCCAATTCGCTCAAATCGGGGCTATGATACCAACTGATAACGTCCCAAAAATCATGATAAAAATTTTGTTTTTCAATTAAGGTAAAACCATTATTTCAATCAATAACCCAAGTCATAAGAAACCAAGTATCAAATACAAATATCCCAAAATCAATGTATCATAAATTTCCAAAACATGTCAACAAATGATGTATACGATCACGCCTTTGCTTTGCTACAATCATCATAGGTACCTGAAACATAACACATAAACCATAGACCAAAGCTTAGTGAGTTCTCCCAAATTACCACCACAAAACATATAACAACATGTATA